CTGTCAGATGTGAGCCCAGGGTCTCTCACGAGTGACAGGTCTGGGGCTCTGGGTGTTCCCACTGCCTTGGGTTCTAAGCTCCGAGGGTCTGCAGGTCCAGCACCTGAGCTGGGATTCACACCAGTGAAGGGAGGTTGGGGCTACAGGCCCCGGGAGGATATGCTGTTTACTCCCAGGATGGGGTTGGGGGCTGAGTCCTATTTGCCTCCTGGGGGACCTCAGAGACCCTTTGGGAACAGGACTGGGAGGTACCAGGTGAGCCCTCTTCCTCCCCAGTTCAAAGTGGAGAGAGAATCCCAGACACATCCCACATCCAACCGGAAAGCACTCAGCTAGTCTGCCAGGCCCGGGCTGTGTGGGGGTGTTTCTAGTACTGTCCCCGTGGCTGTGATGAAGTGTGATGTGATGGGGGCTCTGCAGAGACCTGCCTTGCTCTGACCTCCCCTCTCTGCCCTCTGCTCTGCCTCAGGTATGAGGAGGAGGTTTCTCTGAGAGCAACAGCTGAGAACGAGTTTGTGGCTCTGAAGAAGGCAAGTGACACAGGATTGAGAAGCACAGATCTGTGGGATCTCAGAATGACAGGCTCTTCCTGGGGACACACAGGGGGTCTCAACCTCAGTGTGGAGCACAGTGACCTTTCCACAGCAGGATAGGACTGCCCAGGTGCAGGTCATTAGATGGAGCATCCAGGGTCTTGAAATAGGGCAATGACCTTGGAACATCTATCAGCACCTGCCTTGGGTGAGGGTGTCGCTGCACTGTCCTCTGTGTGTCCTGCTCTGCTCCAGAGGTTGTGGTCTGTTGCTGAGTCCCCTGGAGCCATAGCAGATACAGTGTCTCTGCTGAGAGACAGTGCAGTCTGTCTAGCATTTTGGGGAGTCGGACCTTGAGGCACAGACACAATCCCAGGGTCTAAGGGAGGACGGAGCAGAATCAGCAGCAGGAACTGGGCTCTTGGAGCACTACTGAAGGACAGGAAAGGGTCAAGGTGTGAGAGCAGGGGGGTCAGTCTGGGCAGGCTTCCTGGAGCAGGAGAGGGGAGAAGGGAGAGACAGGAGGGCAAGGAGGGGTGAAAGGTTGGTGAGTCATGCCCAAAGCAAACAGGATTTGTCCTCAGAGGGGCAGAGGATGCCAGCTCATCCCAGGAAGGGCAGAAGGGAAGGAGAGGCATGGGAATGGGACACCGGGGACTGCTTTCCCCTGGCTGCATGGAATGGATGGGCAGAGAGACGAGTCTGGGGGCTAGATTACCAGGGTCCTCTGAGCTCCAACACTCCCCACCTTTCCAGGATGTGGACTGCGCCTACCTCCGCAAGTCAGACCTGGAGGCCAACGTGGAGGCCCTGATCCAGGAGATCGACTTCCTGAGGCGGCTGTATGAGGAGGTGCGGGCCCAGGGGCCAGGCAGACACCTGGCGGCCAGCAGAGAGGAGAGTTGGGGGGTGGGAGTATTGGACAGGATGTGGGTAGAGGTTGCAGTCCCTGAGGCTGTGTGAGGGGGCAGGGCTGGGGACCAGAGAAAGCCTGAGAAGGTGGAGTCAGGACATGGTGGGTGGGGCTGTGTTCTCAACTAAAGTCACCGCCCCCACCTCCTGCAGGAGATCCGCGTTCTCCAGTCCCACATCTCAGACACCTCTGTGGTTGTCAAGCTGGACAACAGCCGGGACCTGAACATGGACTGCATCGTCGCCGAGATCAAGGCACAGTACGACGACATTGTCACCCGCAGCCGGGCCGAGGCCGAGTCCTGGTACCGCAGCAAGGTGAGTGGCACAGGACACCTGTCTGCTAGACATGGCAGTGGGAGGGATGTGAGGTATCTATTAAATAGGCTTCCTTTTCTGGGGATGCTGGTCCCTGGGGATGAGAAGAGATGGTTGCCACTCTGAGGTTAGGGTGGCAGGGCAGGACTGCCATGTGTGGTTGCACAGGCTGAGCACTGTACAACCTGCATAATCATCCGTGGTGCCCTGAATGGATGGGAAGTCCCACCCTGAGCCTCATGAGCATCTCTACTTCCCCCAGTGTGAGGAGATGAAGGCCACGGTGATTAGGCATGGGGAGACCCTGCGCCGCACCAAGGAGGAGATCAACGAGCTGAACCGCATGATCCAGAGGCTGACGGCCGAGGTGGAGAACGCCAAGTGCCAGGTATGGGGCATCTGTGACCAAGGTCAGAGAGACCGAGGGCCTAACCATTGTCACACAGCCTATGTGTGCCCCATCTGGATCTCAGCATTCATTCTCCAGCCCCTTTGTCCATGTAGAGTCCCTGGTTGTGGTCTCTCAGTGAGTCCCAGGTGATGAAGGCGAGAGGCTCTGCTCTGGGGTGCTCCCAGGTTGGTGGGGAGCATGGTCTCATCCAGGTAAGCATCAGAGAGACCCAGAGATTCTGATCTACCTTGTTCTCTCTGTTGTCTTCAGAACTCCAAGCTGGAGGCCGCGGTGGCCCAGTCTGAGCAGCAGGGTGAGGCGGCTCTCAGTGACGCCCGCTGCAAGCTGGCCGAGCTGGAGGGCGCCCTGCAGAAGGCCAAGCAGGACATGGCCTGCCTGATCAGGGAGTACCAGGAGGTGATGAACTCCAAGCTGGGCCTGGACATTGAGATCGCCACCTACAGGCGCCTGCTGGAGGGCGAGGAGCAGAGGTGGGCCCAACCAAGCCTGGCCCAGAGCCACCCTTCCCCATCCCTGGCACAAGCCTACCCTTGGTCTTGGCTGAGCAAGGGCCAGGGCTCTGGGGAAAAAAAAAAGAAAAAAAATTATTATTATTCACTTCCAGTGTGGGGAGGGCTGGTGTGTGAGTTTGTCTGAGACAAGATTTTCCCTCAGACTCTGTTCTTAATCGACCAATTGTGGACACTACCCTATGACCTAGGGAGCTTTTTCAGCCACTCTGGGGCAGTTACTAATGTTGCTTTTTCTCTTTTGCCCTCAGGCTATGTGAAGGCGTTGGGGCTGTGAATGTCTGTGAGTATTTGGGGTCCGGTGTGGACAGATTTACTACCTCCCTGTGATGGAGGGCAGAGTTTGGAAAAAAGGAGTGTCACTGAGATTGAATGTAAAAGAGTGGGCTGGCATCACAACAGGAGGGATTTGGGGTCAGACACCCGAAAGACCTAATCTCTTGGACTAGATGGACCTACAATTGTGCACTAAAGATGCTTCTGACTTTTCATACCAGAGCTCAGGTCTTAGGCAGGGGCTGTGGTCAGGGAGGCAGGATGGCTTGCCCTCCGGAATTTTGATTCAGCCTTCGGGGTTCACAGGTGTCAGCAGCTCCCGGGGTGGGGTCGTGTGCGGGGACCTCTGCGTGTCAGGCTCCCGGCCAGTGACTGGCAGTGTCTGCAGCGCTCCGTGCAATGGGAACGTGGCGGTGAGCACCGGCTTGTGTGCGCCCTGTGGCCAGTTGAACACCACCTGCGGAGTGGGTTCCTGCGGCGTGGGCTCCTGTGGTATCAGTTCCTTGGGTGTGGGGTCTTGCGGCAGCAGCTGCCGGAAATGTTAGGCACCCCAACTCAAGTCCCAGGCCCCAGACATCTTTCCTGCCCTGCCTTGCTCGGCCCATCCAGTCCAGGCGCCTGGAGCAAGTGCTCAGCTACTTCTCCTGCACTTTGAAAGACCCCTCCCACTCCTGGCTTCGCATTTCTCTGTGTGATCCCCTACTTCTGGGCTCTGCCACCCCACAATGGGAAAGGCTGCCCTAGAAAGAAGTCCCCTGGCAGCCACAGGAAGGGGCCTCAGGAACAGGAAGGGCCAGGACCAGAACCTTGCCCATGGCCACTGCCTTCCTGCCTCTCCCCTTCTTCCTCTGCCCTTGATCTGTGTTTCAATAAATTAATGTAGCCAACCTGGGTCTTGCCTGCATCTCTATTACCCTCCTCAGGGGTCAGGGTTAGGGAGGGTCCCCAAAGTCACATGGAGCAGCGAAAGGCCCAGATCAAGGGTCTCCAGTACAGTTCTCTATCACTCGCCTCACAGAAGGTTCAGATTTAGCCAGGAGTTGTGCTAGACCCCTATTTGATGTAACTTTATCCACACAACCCTAATGATACACCTTGCAGAGGAAGAAGCCAGAGTTCAGAGGCACTCAGTGTTTGGGGCAGGGTCCCCCACTTAGTTGGGTGGTTCATCTGGGGTTTAAGTCCTGTGTGTGTCGCTAGGGTTCATTTCACTAAACTGCAGCTGTCTCCCAGAAAACACCTCGTGCATATCTGGAGACTGGTGGATCATGAAAATCAGATTCACCAATCACTCAAAGCTTGAGGCAACATCACCCATTGCTTTGACAGGGAAGACTCATGCCTGAGTAATTTATTGGAATTCTTTAAGGGGTGAACACATGAATATGATTTAGAGTTTCAAAAAGCCTTTGACGTTGGCTTTCTTTTTTTTTAAACGGAGTCACTCTGGGGTTTTGGAGACCTGCCATAGCTGATACATTTCCTCAAAGACAGAAAACAGCACGTAGCAAGATGATGTGGCATAGAGAGGGGACACAGACTCCAGCCAGACTGCCTGGGCCCCAAGCTGGGCCCTGGTCCTTCCTAGTTGAGTGGGGCTGGGCAATGTATTTACCCTCTCTGTGCCTGCTTCCACACCTCTAAAATGAGGATGATAGAAAGGGCAACCACCTCATAATTTGATGAGTGGATTAAGGGATTTCATATATGTAAAAGGCTTACATAGTGCATGCCACAAAATTATCACTCTATTTTTTATCATTTGTGCTATTCTTTTGCAGAACGTAAAGTAGAAGTCCCTCTAGGGATCAGGGCCTCTTATGGCCAACCTCTTATTATACTTATATCTGTGATCAGAGATTGCAAGTACAGAGAGAAATCTCCGTAGTTACCAGGGCCATTCAGCTCCTTCATGCATGGAAGTATTCCCTGGCACTGATGAGGTAGGGGAAGGGGAAGATGACAGCTCAGCTCCACTATGGGCCAAGGTGACTCCCTGAACATATATCTTTAGGCCAGGGTGAATCTCTACACTTCCAGTTCCAGACCCAGAAAATGCAGCAGAAATGGGAGTCCCCCACCCCTACCCTTCTGCGCACTAGAAATGATTAAGAATATTAACAGACCAGAAGTGAGTGGACTGAAAAAAAGCAAAATCTCTTGTAAAAGCTAGAATCAAACCAAGGTCTCTCAGCCACCCCTGATGGAATTCTGAGCAGGACAGAATCCTGGAAAGTTCCAGAATTTGTGATCAATCATTCCAACTAGCCCTCTATGCTGTGACATCACACAGCTCAGAAGCTGGCCCTAGGCCAGGTGCAGTGGCTCACACCTATAATCCCAACACTTTAGGAGGCCAAGGTGAAAAGGTTGCTTGAGCCCCAGAGTTAGAGATCAGCCCGGACAATATAGTGAGACTTTGTCTCTGTAAAATATAAAAACATTAGCTGGGCAAGGTGGTGTGCACCTATAGTCCCAGCTACCTAGGAGGCTGAAGCAGGACAGCTTGAGCCCAGGAGGTTGAGGCTGCACAGTGAGCCATGTTTGAGCCACTGCCTCCAGCGTGGGCGACAGAGCAAGATCCTATTTCAAAAAAATAAAAAAACAAGAAGCAGCAGCAGCAGCAGCCCCTGTCAGAAGTCCAGACCTGAGACTCAAGCACCAGCTCCATCCCTCCCTAGTTCAGAAGCCAACTGCAACTCCAGTCCTGATGGACTTCTCACCTCTCCCAACTTCAGCCCAACTGGGCCTTAGTGCCCTGCCGTATTTCACTCCCTCACCCTACCTCTAGCTCTGACCCTCCCTTCCTACTCCAGCCCTACCACCGTCACCTCCCTCTAGGTTCCCATTCCTGCACAGGCTCAGGCAGAGGAGCAAGGCAGGAAGGAATCAAACACATAATTCCCCGGGTGCAGAATGGTGAAGAAAATGGAACATCTCACTGCGTGACCTTTAGCAAGTCAACTCCCCTCTCTGGGCCTTAGTGTATCTGCTAGTGAAATAAAATGTTTGGGGCTGGGGGCAGTGGCTGATGCCTGTAATCCCAGCACTTTGGGAGGCCGAGGCAGGTGGATCACTTGCGGTCAGGAGTTCGAGACCGGCCTGACCAACAGGAAGAAACCCCATCTCTACTGAAAATACAAAAAATTAGCCAGGCGTGGTGGTGCATGCCTGTAATTCCAGCTACTTGGGAGGCTGAAACAGGAGAATCGCTTGAACCCGGGAGACAGAGGTTGCAGTGAGCCAAGATGGCACTATTGCACTCCAGCCTGGGCAACAAGAGAGAGACTATCTCAAAAAAAAAAAAAAAAAGAAAAGAAAATGCTTGGATTAGGTGGCTGCTAACATCCCTTACCAATTTAAAGCTCTATTATTCTTTTTTTCTTTTTTTTTTTTTTTTTTTTTTTTTTTTTTTTTGTGAGACAGAGTCTTACCCTGTCGCCCAGGCTGGAGTGCAGTGGTGTGGGCTCAGCTCACTGCAACCTCCACCTCCCAAGTTCAAGCGATTCTCCTGCCTCAGCCTCCCAAGTAGCTGGGACTACAGGTGCCCACCACCACACCTGGCTAATTTTTGTATTTTTAGTAGTGACGGTGTTTCACCTTATTAGCCAGGCTGGTCTCAAACTCCTGACCTTGTGATCCGCCTACCTCAGCCTCCCAAAGTACTGGGGTTACAGGCGTGAGCCACCGCGCTCAGCCAACTGTGTTATTCTTTGGGAGAGGTGGGACAGGATTAGGGGCTAGAGGGAAATGGTGATTCCAGGTTTCATGCAACTGTGCAGTGTATGCGCATGTTGTTTGTGTATTCATTCTGCGTTGCTCAATGCCTAGAGGTAACTGTGAGTGAAGCAATATGATTGCATTCACGTATATGCACATTCCAGTTACCCGTGTGGAAACGCGTGTGTGAGAGAGATGGTGAGGGTTTCTAAATATGTGATTATACATGTGAACATGTGTGCATCTATGTGCTGAAAAGGGGAGATTTGTGGGTACATGTGGATGTGCGTGCATGTGGGTACATGGGTGGACCCATGTGTGCTGGTGAGGCAGGGGTCACCAATGGGGATTGGGGCTAAAGTGGGAGTAGTGATGGGCGATGCTGCTGGGAGTCACACTAGGGAGGTCCCCCCTGGCTAAGGAGCCCTTGCTCTAACCCCCTAGGCTTGCCTACTTATTCCTCCTGCCCTACCATCACTCTCACTCCAGGTGGGGCAGAGGGAGGTCAGTCACCCTTAGACTTTGTAAAGCTTTCTTTAAAGGGGCTCAAAACTTGGCCAGGTACCGTGGCTCACGCCTGTAATCCAGCACTTTGGGAGGCCGAGGTGGGCGGATCACAAGGTCAGGAGATCGAGACCTGGCTAACACGGTGAAACCTCGTCTCTACTAAAAATCCAAAAACAAAATTAGCCAGGTTTGGTGGCAGGTGCCTATAGTCCCAGCTATTTGGAAGGCTGAGGCGGGAGAATGGTGTGAACCCGGGAGGCGGAGCTTGCAGTGAGCCGAGATAGCACCACCGCACTCCAGCCTGGACAACAAAGCGAGACTCTGTCTCAAAAAAAAAAAAAAGCAGGGGGCGGGAGGCTCAAAAATCTTCTAAAGAATTCCAGTAAGTGAAATAATAGTTACACTTAATATAACTTCCTCTGCTTTAAGCACTTTACATGCAGTAGTATCTTTTCTCAAACAACCCTCTGATAGTTACTATTCTATTTTGCAGCTAATCTTTGGCTCAGAGGGACTAAGTAGGGAAGAAAATAAGGAAAAATAAAGCCAAGCACAGTGGCTCACACCTGTAATCTCAGCACTTTGGGAGGCTGAGGCAGGAGGATTACTTGAGGCCAAGAGTTTGAGACCAGCCTGGGCAACAAGGTGAGACCCCATCTCTACAGAAATTTTTTTTTAATTAGCAGAGTGTGGAGGCATGCAACTGTAGTCCCAGCTACTGAGAATCACTTGAGTCCAGGAGGTCGAGGCTGCAGTGAGCTATAATCGTGCCACCGCACTCTAGCCTGGGTGATAGAGCAAGACTTCATATCTACAAAAATAAATTTAAAATTAAATAAGAAGGAAAAAAATGAATCTTCACAATTTAGATCTAGAGGAGGGCAGGACTGAGGCCCAGAAACAGGTGAAGAGTTTGGTCAAGGTAAGAACAAGACTGGGAACAGGATCCAGGCCCTTCCTTCCTTACTCCAGGTTGATCTAGTTGATCTCTTGCAGCTGAAATCACAGCAGGAAGGACTGCATTTAGACTCCACAAGAGACTTCCAAGGGGTTATGCAGAATGCAACACGCTAATGGTCAAAAACAGGGCCCGATACATCTCAGGACAGGACACACCAACCAGGACCACGCAGCCTCAACCTCATCACATCTACTCTGAGGCAGACACTGGGGATGGATGAGACCTTCACTGCCCTCCAGGGGCTCAGATAGAGACATGACCACAGCTAAGTTAGCATCTGACATGTTTGAGTGCGACGGAGTGTGAGGCAGGCATGGAGAGCCAACAGAGGACTCACACCTTATGGTGCCCTTCTGCTGAGAACCAATGACCGAACCGAGGACAGCCCTCCTCCCTTCAAAAGCCACCCCAACTCACAAAGCTTATAAATGGGCTGGAGAATGACTCTCCATAAATGCACTGGGCAGTTTCCTCCCACCCCAGGCTGGAATGTGGCCCATGGCCAGGGGAGCCTCTCAGGGAATTAGTCTCCAAACCACAAACACTGCTTGTGACCCACATGGCCCTGGCCCAGGAAGAAACTCAAACCTGACCCCAAAGCCCTGGGGATCTTCTAGATTGACATCAGGCAAGTCCAGATTCGGTATTTGAAAAGGGAAAATGTAAGCAACCAGTCCTGAATGACGCAGGTTGCAGAAT